AAAAATTGAATGTACTACCTTTAAATTTTAAAACAAAAACACTTAACAAAAATAGGACCTAAACCCCATTATAGTTGCACTTTTATCTGTGAAATGAAAATAAAGGGTCACTTTACAAAAGCATTATGTATGTGTTATTCTACTTACTATTTGACCATTTTTAGAGAGACATTCGGTTTTCAATTAATTTTGAATGTGTTAACATCGATTAGCTGAATTTACCACATGCATGTTATATTATCAATTGCAGTGGTGTTATAGGCAAATGACAAAAAGAATCTCACATGGCACACTGATATTTATGCTTGAGAATTATTATTTTCTCCCTAGTATTTGTTTTTCAGCAAGTTAGGATAAACATTTCAGAACCTAAAAAGTGAACAGAAGAAATAGAAACCTTCTACAAATGTTTCTGAAACCAATTTGTTTAAGCAAACATATATATAATATTGCAATATGTGAAATATAGAGGAAAAAAAGGATAACTAAAAATTAGAAACAAAATGATGCATTGAAGAAAAAAAACACAAAAAAAACAACACCACCTTATCATTTATCACTTTAGCATTTGTACCTGCATATGATGTACATTGATCATGTAGTTTCATGGTATAATTTGTTGCTCTGTATTCACATATTCTACATAAAATAAATCTTCATATTCCAGTGTCAGAAGTTTTTTTTTTTTTTGGAGGCATGTGGCATGGCACTACAGGGTAATACATGATCTCTGTCTGTAGTCTAAAAACCAACACTTCCTATAAAGAAACAATGTATCTCACAATCCCAGGGTCTCTCAGTGTAGTGCTCTGCAGGTGGAAGCTGCATGTTAATTAGGTCTGAAACAGGCACAAGCAGGCAGAGCAATGGAGGGAAGAGATGTGTTTAAATCACATTAGTACTCCTACATTTGTGATGCAACATAGGATATGGCAAACCATGGATGGGATGCGGTGTAACCCAGAACAAGAAGTTGCCTGCCCATTTACCAAATAGAGGTAAGCTAGGTGAATGAATACATGGACATAGGGGAATTCATTAGCCATGGCACTGCAAACTGCAGCTACATGTGAGGCCATCATTATAAGATACGGCAAACACCACAGGGAATATAACTACACTAATAGAGATAGTTAAAACCAGAAAAACATTTGAAAGTGTACAATGCCTTTGTATGCCATTGAATTATTCTTCTACCTCTGGTGTGCATGAAGATACCTAATATGCATCAAGAACAAGATGTTTACTTACATAAGCATGTCCTAAATGCGATTTGGGCAAGTAGGGAGGAGTCTTATAACGTGTACATGGAGATTGTAGTTGCAATGTGTAGGCCTGACTTAAAAGCTTTTAGTATAGACTGTACAGTACTGAGGAGGCAGCACAACCAGTATATTGCTTTATTAGGGGTAGGAGAATATAAGACCTGGAGAGGGGGCAAGTACCTTAGTATCTGCACTAAGCTTGGGTTCACACTGTTATGGTACATTACTGTACTCACCTTAATGTGCACCATTTCTTACATTAGTGTGCAGTGCACCAAGACTGTCAATTACTACAAATGGACATTTTAATACACCTGTACTTTATTTTTGAAGCAGTGAACACCACAAATTGTTCAAATCCATGCACTGTGGTGCCCTAAAACACATGAATGTTCGTGTAAAAACACACTGCATTTTTCTTTTTTTTTTTTACATAATTTACCATAATCACAAGAGGGCTTATAAGCAGTGATACCTGTGACAGGTAGTCTTTATGGACACACCAGGGGTCTATTAGACCTGAATTCTTTCTAGTCCTTGCAGATTTGGAATGGACAACTCAATTTGCAGCTTACTTGGTGCTGCTGCCAGGACTTCACAGCTGTGTAACCACGAAGTGCTCAGATCCTAGGCTTTCTGGGGGCATTCAGCCTGAAGGGAAACACCACTTTACCCATTTATTTTACTCTCTCCTGAATCTCCCCTTCGGGGTCCCAGGTACATGGAAGAGTAAGGCGTGCCTGGAAGCCAGGAGAGGGGAAGTGGAAGCAAAACCTTCAAAGGATAGAGGGAGGAAAGTAATGTATTTTTACACTTGCCTGTGCTATTCTTTCCCAGATACAGTTCTTTGCAAACTGCATTAGTTCAATGCTTCTGGTCCATGCATTTTCTACTTCCTGTTCCTGGTTATTTAGGATTCAACTTATGCTGCAGCAAAAATATAGAATGCTATTTGCAGAGACTAATTTCATTCATTAAACAGCAGATAGCAAGCATTGAGCTAATAGTACACTGTGCACTCTGCATAGTTTTTGGAGATCTCTGTCTGGGAAAGGAGAGCACAGATGTAAGTGTAACCTCTCTACACAGATAATTCCTAGAGACCTTTTAAGAGAAACAAAAATAGCAATTGTTTGAAGAAAAGAAAGTATGGATCCAGCATGGATCTGGAAAAAAAAAACAACAGCAGCAGGGAAATATGGATTCTATAGAGAATCAATATTTATTGTTAGGTCCGTTTACAAGTGCAGTCCAGTCGGTTCCGCCTGTCCGTTTTTCAGCCAGACCTGACCCTCCATCCTCCTCTATGGGCAATTGGATGTTTACATGGATTACTAATCTGTTTACACCCAACTGCCCACAGAGGAGAGTAGGCTGGGTCGGTCTGCTCTGCATAAGCAGAGCAGACACAGACCTGTCATCCAGCAGATTTACTCAGCTCAGCAGGGGATCAGCAGATGGATCCCTTGCTGAGTAAAACTAGATCCAGCTCATGTGGATGGGGCCTTAGATATCCTAAAGTCAGTAAACTTAATAAAAAAAAAAAAAAAAGTTCTTTACAATACACAGATTAAAAACCTACCTCAAAGTCCATCATGAAAAATTCAAGAAACTGAAAGATAAAAATCTAAACTCTCGGTACTGTGCTAATGCATAACAGACAAAAATATGTGAACAATGTATATGCCAAAAGACTTGTGCTCTCTGAAAAGAGTGGATCACAAGACTGGCAAACAAACACAAGTTGTGGACATCCATGCAGACTACAATGTGATTATCAACGTTCCAGGACCCACTTCAGTTTGTGATAGGACAGTGAAGGTGCAACAGCACACTGATGAGCTCATTCTTCTCCTGTTAGTATGTTTACACTGCTAAATGACAGCACTTTGGAAAGAAACAGAAAGGATTAGAAGTCTCAGAGAGCTGACCTCCCGGGTTGAGTGCGATTTTACAGGGGAATACAGAAGAATATCAGGACTGATCTATGCAACTTTGCTTTTTCTGGTACATTTAGGGTCTGTTCACACTAGAATGCAGTGCAGAAAACCCTTGTTTTGTGCTGGTTTCATACACCGCATTCAGAACACACTGCCCTCGCAATCTGCAACAGATGTCAGTGCAATGTTAATGACACCCCAAACGCAGATCACAATGCAGTGCATCTGCCCGCACTGGATCGCATTGTGCAAAAGTACCATGTGATCCGGTTGTAGTGCACTTCCAAAAGTAGTGCATGCAGAACTTTTGGTGTGGTATGATTTCAGCCCATTCAAAATGAATGGGCTTAATGCACCGCACATGAATTGCACAATTCCTAGCGTGAATGGATCCATGATTCTAAATGAAAACTATATATTTGTTTTTATATGTATGCCTACAGGCCAGTTTAAAAATGGCCTTCCGTCATCCCCAGACCTGAATAGGATTTAAAAATCTGTGGGTAAATCTAAGACATACAACGCATGCAAGATGGCCTTCAGAATATTTCTGAATCCGAAGTGAAGAGTGGAAAAAGAAAAAAACCTAAAGCGTGGACATTTAGAGTCTGATCTTTGCCAAAGGGCTGTAAATATATACTGTATGCCAGGGTGTCTAAACCTTTGTACATGCCAAATTTTAATCTCTCAATCATAAAAATTGTGCATTCAAATTAGCAAAAGTATATATAGGGCTGTTTCCTGCAAAGATTGTGTTAACCTTTCCATTGATAAAAATCAATAAAACATGTTATTGTACATAAAATTTCCAAATACTTGCACACAACTATAAATGCGGAGATAAAATGCTGACTTTTGACACATAAATCAAAGTTCTAAAAAATACAGAGAACAATGGAAACAGTCACATCATAATCATGTACCCACATATATGTGGTCATCATGCAACCAGATTTTCTTTCTGTCCTTCAAAACCCAAGCAAGGTCCTGACATCTAAGTCCATCAAAACACCTGTCTTCTGTATTGGTGGCTGCTACTAGCATTGAGTTCCACTTACAATCACTACTTCTTTATACAGGTCCCTCTGTGTACTAAACAGAGGCTGCATCTGTAAAGTGCTGATTACATGGGATGAACAACTTTGGATAATGTGATATCTAAATTAGGAAAATCTGTCCAAGGCTGGACAATAAACTAAAAGCATTATTATTCTATTTTAATATGAATTCAGTAACACCCCAACTTATACTGAACCTGCAGAATCCATACTAGGGGCTACACTATTACGAGAAGGTAGATAAAGTGGTTGCATGTAATGATTTTAATATTATAATACCATGGTAAAATAAAAAAATATACAATTCATATGCTGTGTGAATAAAAATATGCATCTGAAATGCTTAAAGAAATTTCTTCTTTTACTCTTAAAAAAGGGGCCTTGGTCCAATTCAATTCATCCAGCATTTCCTTTCCATCGAAAACTGCAATTCCTTCTTTGTGGAATGGATCAATGTGTTTCCAAGGCAACTGGCACCATCATTCGACCGTAACAATATTTATAACCATCAGGATTCAAATCGGAGGAGGTTAAGGAAAAAGTGTTGTCACATTTTTGGGAAAGCAGCACTGTAACAGACACCTCATATATATATGCAGCTCCGTAGATACTGCAGTTCTCTGCAGAAAGCGGTCCAGCTAATAATGTCCAGCGGTCCCATTCCCAATACAGACCTCTCACCAGCTGCTGCTGCTTCAGACTGTAGATGCCTAATCCGGGAACAGGACCAAGTGCGTTCAGCCGTCATCCGATTCGAATCCCTGAGCTGTCTCTTCAGAGGAGCTGTCCTTGTGGATTCGCCCGTCACTCTTCATACTGTTGAAGGTCTTTTTGAAAGCCACCATCATGGCGTGAGCCAGCTTTTTGGCCTCTAACTTGCTTTCACACTCCACTGCATGGCAATCCATTTGGTAGGTCAGGTCATCATTGATTTCACGGTAAACCCAGGCAAAGATATTCGGGCTGACATTGTGATCTGCTGTGCAGTAAGCAATCCTGGCCACCTGAAATGTGTCCATACGAACAGTAGCTTCACCCTTGATGTCTTGGTGATGAAGTCGCACCTGGAAAGGACGGATTTCGAGGATGGCGTTGGAAGGGAACACATCTTCTCTTGCCAAAGTGTGCTTTTTCCACAATTCAATCACTGGTTGTTCTGTGCATCCAGATGAAAACTGAACTCCCGTTGCAGATACTTTTCCCAGATAGGTCACCTGAAAAAACCAAAGATGACAAATAATTTACTTATGCAGTATGTCACCTAAGGTTTGGGATGCCAATAATCTGTCCTGAGACAAGAAAACATAAGTAAAGTAAACAGGAATGTAACAAGAATTACTTGGTCTTGGTGAGAATCAATGTACTTAAGGGGAACGATCAATGGCTAGAAGTGGGAATTACTTATGGCATATAGAGGCTGAGCAGAAGTGCAATATTGTTATATTTCTGAAAGATTACTAGATCACAGTCTGACCAGCTGAAGGGTTTATTAAGAATCAGACACTCCCTCTAATTTACAGAAATCCTAAGCAGTGTTTCAGCCCTGCCCACACACCAACGTAAAAGGGGCTCTTGTGAGATGTAGATTAGGGGCTGGTGTGCCTACATCAATAAGAAAAGGATGTACAGCATCCTGCTAATCCCTTCTCCCAGCATCTGCCCCTGCAAGAATTTTACAAGTCTGTTGATGACAACACAAAACGTACAATAAGCCTTCTTGAAGTGTACAGGTTTACTTATCCAAGCAGCAACTTTTGTACTTGGATAAGCAAATATGTAGAGATCAGGAAGAAATACACAAAAAAAAAAAAAAAAGAAAGAAAAAAAAAAAAGGAGGACAGAAAGATTTAAGCTGGCCATAGACAGATCAAAATGTGTCTGGTTCAGCAGGGAATTTCTCCAACCTCTGTGTGGATGGAGGAATCTTGTAGCTGAACAAAAAAAAATAAAATAAAACTACCCCTCTATGGCCAGCTTCAAAGTCATATTAAAATGGCAGATTTTTTTTTTTTTTTTTAAATAACAAACTTTTTATACTTGTCTGCTCTGTGCAGTGGTTTTGCATAGAGTAGCCCCAATCCTCTTCTCATTTTCCCAGCTAGTGCTCTTGGCCCTTCCCTCCTGCTGAGTGCCAAGCAACTTCCTATGGGAACACCTGGGCAGGCTTGCTCCAGAGCCACTGCCCTATCTGTCCATCCACACACTGAGCACAGGCCCCCCCCCCCCCCCAGCTGTCATTGCCAGTAGTGGGAGCTGCTGTCTCAGCCAATGAAGAGGGAAGAGACCCAGGAGAGACCAGGGTCTCGTGCACATCGCTGGATTGAGATTGGTCTCATGCAAGTTTTGGGGAAGGGGTGGGGGGTAGCTGAAGATTTTTTACCTTCGTGCATAGAATGCACGAAGGTATACACCTTCAGACTTTACAACCACTCTAAATACAAGAGCAAAGTGTATTCATACTTAGACAATAATTGTTTAGCCTGGATTTCAGCTTTAAAGTTACTGATCTCATATCCTCAGGGGAATAAACCGCTGCAGGAAATAAAAATACAACCAATACTGAGCCACCAGATTTTATACAATTGACAGGCGCACAACCAGTCCACTGTTCTCCATATATGCATTGATGTGTGCCCAGTCAAACAATGGATTGCATTCTTTACACAAGATGAGCAATAATCCATAATATTTACCTCTGTGGAGTAAGCCATTTGGGCTTTTTGGAACACTGTGAAGAGATCCTCTAGGACCCTTCAATATGTTTTTCCCTGCAAGGCCATTCTGATTTTATGCTAAGATGCCAGTGTTGTAACTGACACTTCATATGCAGTAGATGCAGGAAATCCAGTCACCTCATTCATCACAGCGCACAAACAAACATGTTAGCATGGAAAAAATGCAATTTTATGAGCCGTGGAAGTCCAACACTAACAAGAAGCAGCAGCGGCAACACTGGTGATGAGAAATATGTCACAAAGCTTCATCTGTTTAGGGGATCTTTCCACAGGGCAAGGGCAGACAAGAAAATAAGTTGACAAAAAAAAAGGGATATGTTTTATCCCTGCCAACCTAGACAACACTTCAGCTGTGGGGAAAATGTGCAAAGTGACCCCTTTCATTCTATAGTGGCCAGAATTGGCAAGCAGCACTGTAATGACCATTTAAATTCCTCTGGTTTCCCCTGCTGGCAGAAGAAGAGGGGCTGCAATGTCTGTTGAGAAATGTGACTAGAGAAGGGAGAAAGCTGATTAAACATGACCTGTCACCAGCAGAGAGCATAGGCAACCATCCTTGGTCTGAACTAGTACAAATAAGAAAGCAGCCAATGAAAACTGCAGGACAATAGGCCTTATGTATAAACAGAATGGGTGAAAGTGTCTGTTGGCCACTGCCAATTGGATCATTTCACTCTATAAGCTGCAACAGAAGCATAGCAGCTGAACAGAATTTCTTTAAATACAGTCTCTCCTTAATTGTAGGCGACTCAGTTAGGTACAATTTTGAAATTAGTTGAAAAAGAAAACATGCTCATATCACAAAACTATTTCCTGAATGCTTAAAGCGATTCTGCTGTACTGAAAGCCCCCCCCCCAAAGTCCAGTCAATTTCAAAGGCAATTTAAAATCTAAAGCTGTGTGCTTAGAGGGGGGGAAAAAATGGAAACACAACCTTGAGTCTGGCTTCCAATGCTTCTAAGTAGTCCAAGTGCCGTCACTGTGCCGCACTGCTGCCTCTCTGGATAGCTGGAGGCTCAAAAAACCCAAGAGAATGCACTTCACCCAAACAGGGCTGTATCTTATGATATTCCAGGAGGCAGAAGTGAAGCATACTGACAACACCCACACCTCCTAGAAGTGTCAGGAGCTGAGGCCAAAAGGTTTCTCTTTGCTACAGCCTTCTTTTTTAATACCCTCTGCATGCGGGGGATATCTAGAATATAAAATCTTCAGACCTGCGTTAAATTTTGCAATGGGGACTGTATTGCAGACAAAAAAAAAAAAAAAAATTACAAAAGACCACTATGAATTTAGAGAAAACTATTTCTTACCATTTTGGGGGTACATATTGGTCAGTCACTGAGATGCAATCCAATACACCTATAGGACTTTCCCAGCCCCCTTGTACATCACTACTGGCAGGTCTAAGCCACTGCACAGGCACAGTTAATATTTCTAAGTGTTCCTTATAACATAGCAAATCTTCAGTTTGAGATCAGTTCAGGGCTAATCAAAGTGTTGATTCTAATACAACAAGCAATATTTTCTGGCTAGCATTTGTAGTTCTCTTTACACGTAAAGGTGGCTGCAAACACTTACATATACCCAGTGAAGTGACTGGCCTCAGGCGATACACAGAGATTAACCACCTCCAGCCCGCCATACAGTCCAATGACGGGCGCAAGGTGGTTCTCTTGTTCTGGGAGGACGTCATATGACATCCTCCCATTCTCACCGGGCATGCGCGGCTCATCAGGGAGCGCGCAGCGCGGCGATTGGCGGTGCTCTGTGTCCCTCGGAAACAGCGGGTCACCATTCACGGAAAGAGCCGAAGAGGTCGGCTCGGTCATGTGATCAGCGGTGTCCAATCACAGCTGATCACATGTAAACAGGGAAATGCCAGTTATCGGCATTTCTCTCCTCACGAGCTGTCACGCTGACAGCTTGAGAGGAGAGGAGAGCCAGTAATTGCCATTCCGCGGAGGGGACATGTACACTGATCATCAGGGCACTAATGATCAGTGTGCCCTGATGATCAGTGTGGCCCCAGAAGTGCCACCTTTCAGTGTCCATCAGTGCCAGCTGTCAGTGCTGAACAGTGCTACATGCTAGTGCCCATCAGTGCCACATATCAGTGCCTACCAGTGCACATCAATGCTGCCTTTCAGTGTCACCCATCAATGCCAATCAGTGCCGCCTATCAGTGTGCATCAGTGCCGCCTAACAGTGCTATATATCAGTGCCCATTAGTGATACCTGTCAATGCCAGTCAGCGCCACCTATCAGTGCCCATCACTGCAGCCTCAGCGCACATCAATGTAGGAGAAAAATCACTAATTTATAAAATTTTACAACAAAAACTAAGAAAAAACGTTTTGTTTTTTTTTTAATTTTCAGCGGTTTTTGGTTTAAGAAAAAAAAATAAAAAAGCCAGAGGTGATTAAATACCACCAAAATAAAGCTCTGTCACAAAAAAATGATAAAAATTTCATATGGGTACAGTGTTGCATGACCGCGCGCAATTGTCAAAGTGTGACAGCGCTGAGAGCTGGAAATTGGCCTGGGCAGGAAGGGGGTATAAGTGCCCTGTAGGCAAGCGGTTAAACAAATCCTCCTACATAAGCTGTACCAGTTTAACAGCAGTCTTTCTCCTACATCCAAAGTGCAAGATTTACACCGGATATGAAGTTACATCAGTAACAGTACATCAGTATAAATGAGAAGAGCTCTGAGAGCTGACTGGAGGGAAGGGACACACTACCCTTCACACAGCACAAAAGAACAGAACTGAGGCTGTAAATCACTGGCTGTGCCCTCCAGTCACCATTTTTCTCTTGGTGTTCAGGAAAAATCAGAAGAGACTCATGCAAATATTAGGCGAAGGAGGCAGCAGAGAGAAATGGCATTTTGTGCTCTGGATTGAGACAAGTACACACTACAGAGGGATATACTTTGTTCATATTTCATGCCTGCGGTTTACAACCACTTTAAAGGCAAGTCCACCCAAACCTGATTTCAGTTAGGAACTTAGGCTGGTGAGGCTTGTTATTCACAACTACTACTTTTTCCTTATCTCTTGGAGATTTCACTGAAGAGCAATACCCAGGCTCTGACCCTCACCACATCTAACTACTTATGCTGTCATCCTGGGTGGGGAAGTCTGAGCACTCGTGAGTAAAGATCTCACTGTTAAGGTATAGATACACACAGGCCTTTTGCCATGGTGCAAATCCCAGCGGCAGGAATCTACTGCTGGGTTAGACAGCTGTAATGACAGGCTGTCAGCAGTTCGTGGATGTTTGCAAAGCCAGCAATCATCTAAGGCAGTGTTTCTCAACTCCAGTCCTCATGGACCCCCAACAGGTCATGTTTTCAGGATTTCCCTCAGATGAAACAGCTGTGGTAATTACTAAGGCAGTGAAACTGATCAAATCACCTGTGCAAAATAATGGAAATCCTGAAAACATGACCTGTTGGGGGTCCATGAGGACTGAAAT